CTCTTGCACCTTTCCACACTCCAGAGGTTTGGTAACACTGTGGACATCATGCTGGATGTTTGACATGTGAGCCAAACTCTGGTTCACACTCGAGGTTGAGATTAGAAGTTGTTAGCAACAAAGACTGGGTTTTGAGAGTGACAAGATGGGTGGATGTTGCTGAGTTAATATGGTGAGGTGACAGTTTGGGTTGAGGGTAGAATTAATTCATACAGATTGTATGAATCGCAGAGATTGAAGTCAGACATTGTAGTTGGATGGTGTAAGGTTTGATTTGATAACATCTATTACAAGAGTTTGATCTGAGATCAGATGGAATTTGTGTGTTGCGTAATATAGAGTCTCTGTGTGAAGGTTGGTTTATTTCCTCAGTATCTTTGTCGAGGTTGGTTGGGTTCAGTGGCTGTGAGTTGGTTTGTGTTGGGGAGCATCAGTTTGTGTATGATTTGGTTCAGGGCAGGTGTCGAGTCAGTGACTGTCTGTCAAGGCCGGTCGAGTGCAGTTGTTGAGGGTTAGAGTCTTTCAGGCCTGGCTCAGTGCAGTTGCCTCGGGTCAGTCGCTGCCAGGGCTGGGTCGGAGCAGTTTGCACGGCTGGTTTGCTAGTAACCTGCAAAGTGTAGCTGCCGAGAGTCAGTTGCTGCCGGGTCTGGGTCAGTGTGGCTGCCACGAGTCAGGTTCTGTTCAGACTGGTTTAGTGTAGTTGTTGAGTCAGTTTATGCTGAGATTGGTTCAGAGTTGGGTTTGTCAGGGTCAGTCAGTCCACTTGTTGAGTTGGTTTCTGTCGGTATTTCCTTAGTATAGTTGAGAGTTGGGTTTAGTTGAGAGGGTGTTTGAGAGTTGGTTTGTGTCAGGGCAGGTTCAGTGCAGTTACAGTGTAGTTGAGTGAGTGGGGCCAAGGTTGGATTAGTAGAATTGTTGAGAATGAATTACTGTGGATTTGATCAGTGAAACTCAGGGGAGTTGGTCAGTGTTGGGGCTGGTTTAGTGAAGTGGAGGTGTTGTGAGACGGGACTGGCTTTGTGTTGCTGAGTTAGTTTGTCAGAGAATCCTCTGTGTAGTAATCGATGTAGTTCATGTTGAGATTGGTTCAGTGTATTTGTTGGGAGTTGGTCAGTGTCAGGGATGGTTCAGTGTAGGTACACAACCAATTTATTTACAGCAGAGCTTGGATCGGGCTGGTTGTGCATTTGGACTATACGGTAAGTGCAGATTTGTGGAAACCTTATGATATTTGTGTCCTTCTTTTCTTTATCAACGTAGGACTCATGGAAGGTAAGTGTAATAGTGGAAACCTTACGGTGGCAACTAAAGCTGTTGCACTCTTTTTCTCTTGCACCTTTCCATACTCCAGAGGTTTGGCAAAACTATGTGGACTTCATGCAGGATGTCTGACATCTGAACACATATGAGCCTTCACTCTGGTTTACATTGTAGGTTCAAATGAGAAGTTGTCAATCAGATGGTGTAAGATTAGATGTATAATCAGATTTGATATTATCAGTTTCTTCTGATTAGAGGGAATATGTTTGCAAGTGGGTGATACAGTGAAGTTAAGAGCTGATGTTTGAAGATTGTTGAAGTATAGTTTTGAGTTGCTTTCTGTCAGTGTAGTTTGAGGGTTTAATTAGTTGAGTTGATTCAAGGCCAAGGGTTGGTTTGTGTCAGAGTTGCTCGAGTTGGGTAGCTTCAGGGCCAAGAGTTGGTTTCTGTCAGGGCTGCTTTGAAGCGGGGTCTCAAAGTCCGTTTACTAGCGACTGGCTTTGTGTATCTGCTGAGATTCAGTTCCTGTCAGCGTTGTTTGAGGGTTCAGTTTATGTTGAGTGAGTTGATTCGAGGCTGAGAGTTGGTTTGTGTCAGAGTGAGTTGGGTAGCTTTAGGGCCAAGAGTTGGTTTGTGTCAGGGCTGCTTTGAAGCGGGGTCTCAAAGTCCGTTTACTAGCGACTGGCTTTGTGTATCT